TGTCTAGAAATTCTTTTTTTTTTTTTTTAAAGATTTTATTTATTTATTTGAGAGAGAAAATGAGAGACAGCACGAGAGGGAAGAGGGTCAGAGGGAGAAGCAGACCACCCCCCCCCACCCCCCCGCCGAGCAGGGAGCCCGATGTGGGACTCGATCCTGGGACTCCAGGATCATGACCTGAGCCGAAGGCAGTCGCTTAACCAACTGAGCCACCCAGGTGCCCTGTCTAGAAATTCTTGATAGTTATTTTCCATTTTGAAAATTTTGGAGGTACATCTGGGGAAAAAAATGTCCAACATAGTCAACTAGATAGAAATTTATTAAAATTATTTTTATGAAGTGATAGGAAATAAACAGAAATCTGACTTACTTATTGTAATGTGTCAGGATATCTCAAAAGGCCCCTTCTTAAGAGTAATTAGAGATGGAGAAGATAATTTGAGAAGTGGTTTTCATTTCCCTTTGTCAAACATAGAATCATAATCTCTCAGTGCTGGAAGGAAACTTAAAGAGAATAAGGAAGAAACCAGCCACAACCTTACCATCCAACAACAGGGAATCATTCATTATGCTTCATGCACTCCCCAGACTTATGCAACCATTCATAGTTATCTTTATAGGAAACCATGTAGCAAAATAGGAACATGCTTAGACTATAATTTTATTCCTTTAAAAATCAGGATGCAAATTATATGTATACCTACTATATCCAACTACCTATAGTATACATACATGAAGAAAGACAAAGGAAATATATGGTGAATTTGGTTAAGATAGTGGAATTGTGGGAGTGCCTGGCTGGCTCAGTCGGTAGAGCATGTGACTCTTAATGTTGGGGTTGTGAGTTCGAGCCCCACATTGGATGTAGAGATTGCTTTAAAAAAAAGATAGTGGAATCGTGGGGAGATTTTTTTCTTTTTCTATTTTACAGTATGATATTTTAAATTTCAAATGTTCTTATAGAGGAAAAAGTGAAAGTTCTCTTAATTCTGAGCCAAAATTTATCCTTCTATATAATAAATCTTAAATCTGCTTCCACACAACTGCCTTGCCTACCCCACTCAAACATGGGTACTAAGGACCTCACACACGATGATGTAGCCCAACCACTGGGCCACTCTCTCTGTGGAACCAGCCTCCCTGGGTTCTTACCACCTTGTATTTGATGTAAGATCTTTTATGTTTGGGAGATGAGTTTTGGGAAAGTCTGTGAGAACAGCTTTAACTTCACAGAGTTTGCCCAAAATTCACTAGACATTGTCTCCGTTCCCCTTTTTCATTTTCATTCCTCCTCTGGGGCTGATGTTCCACTCCCCTGCTGGTTGTTACCCTAACATACTGCCTGGTCCTCACCAGTGCCCCCCCTCTCCTGGGGGCTGAACTCTATTTCCACTGGATGAGTTTGCTCAGGCCACTATAACAAAACACCACAGACAGTGGCTACAGGGGGTTATTAACCTGACTAGAGGGTTATCCCTATTGGCAAGTGGAGTGTATCTGTCCATCATAAAGAATCTGTTTGCCTTATCATATGAATTTCAACATTACGTATGTCAATGGGAAAAAAGGGAAGTACTACTCGATTATCTATAGTCCTATTGTACATTTTTAAATAGTTGTAAATAGTACTTTTGTACACGTTTAAATAATTATAAAAACATTTCAGGGGCGCCTGGGTGGCTCAGTTGTTAAGCGTCTGCCTTCGGCTCAGGTCGTGATCCTAGGGTCCTGGGATCGAGCCCCACATCGGGCTCCCTGCTCCACAGGAAGCCTGCTTCTCCCTCTCCCACTCCCCCTGCTTGTGTTCCCTCTCTCACTGTCTCTCCCTCTGTCAAATAAATAAATAAAATCTTTTTTAAAAAATTAAAAAATAAAAAATAAAACAACATTTCAATTTTTTTGTTACCCACTTATACAACAAAATTTTTTTCCTTGTTAGAGATTATTGAGAGTTTCAAGAGGTCATTTTAAAAAAGTTTTTGTCAGGGGCACCCGGGTGGCACAGTTCGTTAAATGTCCAGCTCTTGGTTTCAGCTCAGGTTGTGATTCAGGGTCATGAGATCAAGCCCCACGTCAGCCTCCATGTTCAGCACAGAGTCTGCTTGAGATTCTCTCTCCTTCTCCCTCTGCCCCTCACACTTGTGCTCTCTCTCTCTAAAATAAATAAATATTTTTTAAAAATAAAAAGTTTTGTGAGGAACCACGTGTAACTATTTCGAGCATAAAAACAGATATAAAAATGTTATGTTTGTGAAATCAGGGTCAGATTTCCCATTTAAATTTGAAAGAATTTTATCTGGATGTTTTATACAAATGTGAAATTTAATTTTTTCCCCATTACCTTCTGGCCAAATGGTATATAGTAATGTTCTGATCCTCTCCTTCTAAATATTCATCTGTATGCTCTTCAGTGGGCTCCTAGCTGGTTCCTCTACAACACACATGAATCCCCTTCCCCGCTTTGTAGGCATGCTTCTTTTGAATAGGGCATAGGTTTGATTTCATCACTCGGTGTAAGTCTTGAGTCCCATCCACAAGGTTTCAGCGAGATCATCATGTTTACACCTGGTGTTATAATCCCGAGTTGACTTTGCTTGTTACCTACGCCATGTGTGTTTGGACACGGACATCTAAGGCACCAACTATTATTTCTGGCCTCCTTCCCAACTGTTTTCTCATGTGAATCACCAAACACCTCCCGCTCCCTTATTCTTTCTATGTCATGCCTACTGCTCTTCGGAATAACTGGATTCACAGGTTTACCTAGGTGCTTTCCTCCCTTCCCTTATTTATTCTCTTTTCAAGCTCCATGGATAAATTCTTATTTATCCAGTAAACTCCTGGGGTAATTATTATTCCCCAGTTTTGTGAAAGGCCCATCATCCCAAATCAGAAGTCCATAATTTTCATAGCATAAGTATCCAGAATCAAGATCTATAAATCCAAATACAGTAAAACAAAGCCATCTTCATGGCCTGTCACTCATGTCTCAGACCTTCTCCCTTTCAAACTCACAAATGTCAGCAAGATACAAAGAAAATGATGAACTGGGATCCCAAGTCACTCATTTCCACGGGGGGCAGCGTGGTCATTTCTCAAAATCCTGGGTATTATCTTCCAGCAACCAATCTCTTCCACTCACTTCAGCCAATCCAATGTCCTGTCAGTTCTTCCTCCCTAAATGCCATTTGGATCGGCCCCATTTCTATCTCTACTGCATTGCCTTAATTGAAACCCTCGTTATATTCTGTTTGAAACATTGCAGTGATCTCTTTTACAGGTTAGTCTCCCCACTGCCATCAGAATTGTTGCTAGATGTTGGCACGCCTGAGTGGCTCAGTCGGTTAAGCGTCTGACTCTTGATTTTGGCTCAGGTCATGATCTTAGGGTGGTGAGATCAAGCCCCCTGTGGCTCTGTGCTCAGCGGGGAGTCTGTTTGGGATTCTCTCGCCCCCTGTCTTTGCCCCTACCCACCTCCCCCTCTCTCAAATGAATAAATAAATAAAATCTTTTTTTTTTAAGAATTATTGCTGGATGCTTCTCAAAAATTGTCTGTAGCTCTCATTACTACAAAGCAAAATTCATCACCTTTGACAATATGGCCCCAACTTTCTTTTCTGGCCTCATTCTATTCTTGGTGCCAATAATCTTATGCAATTCCCTGAATGCATCATGTACATCCATGCTTTGGGGTCTTTTCTGATTTTTTAATTACTTAGCTATCACCCCATCTTTCAAAGCTCATTCAGAGACCTTTCTCTGGTTCTCCTCCTTCGCCACACCTGCCGAGGCTAATCTGTCTTTCCACTAGTTCCTCTTTGAGCTTCCCTGCTATATTTCTGTCGCCTGGCAGATAAGGATTACATCAGACTCTTTTCTCCATCTCTCCCAGTGCTTGACCCAGAATCTGGCACATAATAAGTGCTCGAATTCTTAAATGTCCAAGAATCTGTGAGCTGGTTGGTCTTATATTGGTTGCCTGAATTTAGCCATAGTGGAAGTATTTACACCATGGAGAACCCTATGATAGGAACCTTCTTTCTGAGAGAGAGAGAGAACTGCTTCTTAAACATTTGCCAGCACACCACTGATTATGCAAGTGATACATGGGTGCAATAAAAATCAGCGGTACCCTTTGACAGCCCCCTCCCACAACCCCAGTCTCCTTCCCATGACACGCCACTCCGGCGTGTATCTGCCAGACCGCCATTCGCATCATGTAGGTGTTATGTGCTGTAGTATTTGCCACATTGAAGCCCGCCCGTTCATCGTCTCCCAGGCTGCTTCTACCGTCACTAGAGTGACTCCCTTGACTTCCTTCAGCCCCAGCTGCGGCATTTCTAACTCTTGTGTGCCTCGTGTTAGTAAGGTTCTAAGTTGCTTGGAGTTATCATGCCTGTATTTTCTACAGAACAGCCCCTCATTAAGATGAATAAGTTCTAGGGATGCCTGGGTGGCTTAGTTGATTAAGCATCTGACCGTTGATTTCGGCTCAGGTCATGATCTCGGGGTGCTGAGATCAAGCCCCGAGTCGGGCTCTGCGCTGAGCTTTGAGTCGGCTTGAGATTCTCTCTCTCCCCCTCCGTCCCTAAAGGAAAAAAAAAAAAAGGTGAATAAGTTCTGGGGGTCGAAGGTACCTCACAGTGACTGTAGTTAACAATACTGTGTCACATACTTGGAAGTTGCTAAGAGAGTATCTATTTTTTTTTAAAGAATACAAATAAAAGTTTATTATACAAAATTGTGGCCTTCATATTTCATAGTTCACTAAGGCTAAACAAAGCCTAGGTTTTTGTTTTTTTTTTTTAAAGATTTTATTTATTTATTTGAGAGAGAATGAGAGACAGACAGCACGAGAGGGAAGAGGATCAGAGGGAGAAGCAGACCCCTTGCTGAGCAGAGAGCCCGATGCAGGACTCGATCCCGGGACTCCAGGATCATGACCTGAGCCGAAGGCAGTCGTTTAACCAACTGAGCCACCCAGGCGCCCCAAAGCCTAGGTATTTTTTAAAATCATTCACAAAAATCTCACTTCCACTCTCCCTCATCCCAACTATTAAAAAATGGCCTGACCAAATGTTATCAAAACAAACACTATAAATAACACCAAGTGCTTTAAAGACAACTCTCCCATATGTTACTTCTTAGCATAGGTGATCTTCATGGCATGGGACGGTGTGATTTTAAATCCCTGTAAAGCATCCCTGGCAGCTCCAGCCTGTCCATCATTTTCAAATTCAACAAAAGCAATGTCATGCCTCCCAGGTACCAAACGTACTTCCTTGAAGCCAGGAAACTGATTAAACAGCATGGACAACATCATCTCATTAGTCTCTTCTGGTAAATTATTGAGGAATAAAATATAGTTTGGAGGGTAATCAGGGACCTGAGGATTTGGTGTTGAATTTCCTTGAGTATTTGCTGCATTTGGTGTTCCCTGACCAGGCTTTTTGTTTGCACTGGTCGCAGTCTGTTCTGCAGTTTTTGCTTTTTTCTTTTCCTTCTTCTTTTCTTTGTCAGCAAAAGTGCCGCGCATTTTAGATATTATATCAGAATCTGTTTTTGCATACTGGATTCGCATTGGTTTACCATAAAATGGAAATCCTTGTAACTGTCTCAAGGCATTTGTGGATGAGCCCAGTTCCTTAAAAATAACAAAGGCTTGCCCCCTCATCTTCACAGTCTTTAAAGCTACAATATCTACAACATGGCCAAACTGAGAAAACAGGGCATACAGGGATCTCTTCAACTCTTCTTTTTTAATTTTGTCATTCATATTGTTGATGTAAATTGTATAATTTGGTCTGATATCCATGTTTGGAGTTAACCTGTTCAAACTGCCTGAGGCCTACGCTGGTCCCCCCCTAAGAGAGTATCTTAAATGTTGTCACCACATACACACACAAATGGCAGTTATATAAGGTGATGGTGTTAGCTAACTTTATTGCGATCATCATTTTGCAATATATACATGTATCAAATCATCATGCTGTACATCTTAAATTTACGGAATGTTATATATCAATCACATCTCAATAAAAGTAGAAAACATCAAAATCAAATTAAAAGAATTGGCCCTTAAAAGTATCAACTGCTTAATTCCTTGACCCAAAACCTACCAGTGCTATCTGAATATGCCATTAGATATGAAAGTGTGCAAATAATAGTTAGGATGATTGGAGTTTTTCTTTGTTTTTTTAAAATAATTTATTTTTTTATTTGACAGAGAGAATGAGAGCACAAGCAGGGGGAGCAGTAGAGGGAGAGGGAGAAGCAGACTTCCCGCTGAGCAGGGACCCCGACGCCGGGCTCTATCCCAGGACTCCAGGATCATGACCTGAGCCAAAGGCAGAAGCTTAATGACTGAGCCAACCAGGTACCTCTTCTTTGTTTTTTGTATAAAGGGCAACTTTGATTTTCTCAGGGTATTGCAGTGCCACAGTCAGGGGATAAAAGACAAAGAAACAATGCAATGTTTTTCTCTGTTAGTATGTCCTTAGGTAAGTAAGGCTTCCATCTCTCCCTGCTCCTCTCTGGCAGCCTGGAGCCACACAGTATAGGAGAGAATTTTCATGCTCTCAGAAAGCAGAGATTCTGGGGCACCTGGGTGGCTCAGTAGGTTAAAAGCGTCTGCTTTTGCCTCGGGTCGTGGGGTCGTGATCTCGAGGGTCCTGGGATGAAAAAGAAGAGGTAGTATCTAATGAGTCTGATGCAGCTGAATTTCTTTATGACACCCCTCCCCTCCGCCAGAAACAGAAAGAGTAGGGGTTCTTCCAGAAACCCCCACCCCACTTTCTATCACAGTCCCCCTCAAAGTGAGACCACCCCACCATCCTATCTGAAAGACACTAAGAAAAATCGGTAGTGTATTTCAGCAAGTTAAGCAAGCAAGGCCAGGTCTTTCCATAATAACATGATACAATTTGAATATCCACAGCGAGGTGACTGAGGTCATAGCTCATTGTCCTGATGAGCTGTTTTCTTAAGTGTTGAATGAAAAAGTTAAAGCAAACGTGGCCATGCATGGAAGGAGTTAGTCCTCTTAATTGCTATTTGACAAAGGCAATTAAATCTTCCCCAGGGATGAGAATTTGCAGATATGGCCACCCTGCACCTGCAATGACTTCAGAGCCATACGGAAAAACTGGGAGATGGTGTTCTCCATAGAAGGACAAATGAGTCCTGCATCCTTTTAAAAGTCCTCCTGACATTTCAGGTGTCTTCCTTAGCTTCTTTTCAAGTAAGTAAAGAGGGTTCATTCCCTGTCATTTAAAACTTAGTTGTGGGTGCCTGGGTGGCTCAGTTGGTTAAGCGACTGCCTTCGGCTCAGGTCATGATCCTGGAGTCCCGGGATCGGGTCCCGCATCGGGCTCCCTGCTCGGCGGGGAGTCTGCTTCTCCTTCTGACCCTCCTCCCTCTCATGCTCTCTGTCTCTCATTCTCTCTCTCTCAAATAAATAAATAAAATCTTAAAAAAAAAAAAAAAACTTAGTTGTAACAATTTAGGGTAATTATACTACAAGGCCCACTTCTGACGGGTTCCAGGAAATGGGAAGCAAATTATTGCTAGAGGACAGAGGCCCCAAGAGCTCACGAAGGCCAGGGGCCCCCAACATGCGCATTACCGATACCAGGGCTCATATAGCAACAGAGGCCGCCCCCACTCCCCCACCCCCCGGGAAACTCAATGCCCTTGAGGCACCAATGTGCTCTTCATGTAGGATCCCTGACAGCCACCAGCCCTGAAGCCACTTTTTCTTTCCCAAATGAGCCTAAGCAATCACCTCACTAATTTCAAAAAACACTTTGGCTTAAAGCTTTAGTGTGGCCAGCTTCAGTATCTTCCAGAAGCAGCTGTACATTGTAGACGCATCTTGTGCTGGCTCCCGGGCTTCTCTCTGCACAGATTCTGCAGAAGAGGTGAAAGATAGCGTGGTGTTCATTGCACTATTCTTTCAACTTTTATGTAGCCTTGAAGAAAAAAGGTTAAGGGAAGAAGGTGAATTGAGAAGAGGTCACTACATTTCTGACTCACAGTATGTAGGATATTAAGTCTAATTAATTTAATCCTTCCCAAAGCACAGCAGTCCCACCAGGATCTAAAATCCCTTTGAAAGGTTTAAAGGTGATTCTGCCTGCATGAGTGTGCACTGGACTGGGCAGGAGCCGCCAGGTGGGGACAGGACTCCTGGGGTAAAATATCCCAGCTTCTGCCAGGGGAGGGGATCCCTCAGGAGCCTCGAGTCTGCCCAAGGAAAGCTTGAATAAGGACATTGTAAATTGGGGCACCTGGGTGGCTCAGTCTTTAAGTGTCTGCCTTGAGCTCAGGTCATGGTCCCAGGGTCCTGGGATCGAGCCCCACATGGGGCTCCCTGCTCAGCAGGAGGCCTGCTTCTCCCTCCCCCACTCCCCCTGCTTGTGTTCCCTCTCTCGCTGTGTCTCTCTCTGTCAAATAAATAAATAAAATCTTTTTAAAAAAAGGACATTGTAAATGGACCGAAAATCTGAGATGCAGAGCCCCACGCCCCCCACCCCTAGGAGCAGTAGTGCTAGACATTGCTCACAGGTGCAGCAAATCCCACCCCTGGGAAGGGGCCCCCAGGGATATCAGCACCTCACCTGGTTCGGGGCCCCACCGGTCTCCGCCACAGGGATCACTTTCTCAGCAGACCCCTCTGCTACCAGGCTGCACCTGCTAATCTGAGTGAGTCCAGACATTCACCCCACTGTAGCCACAGCTTTGATCTTGCCATCCCACCCCAATACCCCTGAACCCCTACTTTGGAGCCTGGGAGCCCTTGAAGTGTTTGTCACTTGAGAAAATGAGAATTCACAGCGTATCTTTGCTCACAGTTTAGAAATCTTCAACACTCAAACTCCACTTTCACTTAATGTCGGATGGTGACCTTGTCCCAGCAACCCGGCCCCACAGCAGCCCCCAAGTCCTTCCTCAGGCAGTTCCCTCGTGCAGATAGTGAACCCTAACACAGATCATTTCTGGTGAACGGTATCTCATTCCACGCATGAGAAAACTGAGATGTAGAGAGGCTAATAAGCGGTAGAACCAGAATTTGGAACTGGTCTCTGTTTCCAAAAACGGCCCTTCGTACTTTATGTGAAAGGGTTTTTTCCTAAGTAATTTCATTTGAAATGGAATGAGTAACTCGTGTTCCAAAACAGTGTTGAAAAGCAGGCGAAATTTAGCCTCCTAAAAGGGTGGTATTTCTGGTCCCTTGAAAAGATACGTGTTCTAGTCCTTTCCTTGAAATGGCAATACCGTCCCACAAGGGTGAGGCCGGCGACGCTGCCCCCAGAAACTCCAGTCCTGCCACGTGCTACCTGGGCTGGGCAGGGCTGGGCTCTTCCCAGCAGTTCTGCACCAGAGGCTCTGGAAGGCGCCGATGACGGAACTGAGAACTAGATCATCCCCGCCCCCCTTCAGCTCTGACATTTCCTCTGTGTCCTCACTGAAGTCATTAAGCTTTTCTATTCCTTAGCTCCCAACTTACAAAATGGCCTTAACTTATACTTGTGTTCATATATTTTGCTAAGCATCTGGAGGAGGGTTAAAAGCTGGTTATAAACATGAAAGTATTTTAAGACTAAACATAACTGTATAGATCTTTGTGTATATAGACATTATTAGAGAAATTGCTTCATTTATGCTAAGCTATCTTAATGCAAATCGTAAACTCATCGTTTTCTTTTTTTTTTTTTTTTTTTTTTTTTTTTTTTTTTAAATGGTAAAGCCACTTTGGAAGACGGCTTGGTGGTTTCTTTCTTTTTTTTTTTTTTTTTTAAGATTTTATTTATTTATTTGAGACAGAGAGAATGAGAGAGAGAGAGCGCGCACATGAGAGGGGGGAGGGTCAGAGGGAGAAGCAGGCTCCCTGCCGAGCAGGGAGCCCGATGCGGGACTCGATCCTGGGACTCCAGGATCATGACCTGAGCCGAAGGCAGTCGCTTAACCAACTGAGCCACCCAGGCGCCCAAACTCATCGTTTTCTGGTGCGAAGCCAGTCACCCAGATGGACGTCTAACAGTGCGTGTGTGTGGTTCTGGAAATGCAGGGGCTTGTTTCCCTTACTGTACTTCTCATATTATATAACCCTTTTAAATTTATTTTAATTCTAAAGTCAAAAATGAAAAAATATGTCTCCTAAGTACTTACTAAGTGACAAGTGCTGTGCTAGGGCTACAGAGATGAATAAGGCAAGATTTCGTTCTCAGAATACAGACTAGCAGGGGAGTCAGACATGTAAACCATCTATGACTAACTAGGAAAGAATGTAAATGGCTTTTATTAAAAATACAAAAAACTTACAAATTGATGACAGTTGTATCATACAAGTAGACACCTTTTCCATCTCCTGAAGGAAGCTGCCATTGCTCAGAATATTTGGGAGGATTCCAGTGTGAGAACTGTATTCAGATTCAAAGGTTCCCTTTCTGAGTATTTTCAATGGCTGAAAATATTCATCCTTTAAGGATAAATTTGATTTAAAACATTTTTAAAGATTTTTAAAAGATTTTATTTATTTATTTGACAGAGAGAGACACAGCGAGAGAGGGAACACAAGCAGGGGCAGTGGGAGAGGGAGAAGCAGGCTTTCCGCTGAGCAGGGAGCCTGATATGGGGCTCAATCCCAGGACCCTGAGATCATGACCTGAGCTCAAGGCAGACACTTAACGACTGAGCCACCCAGGCACCCCTGAAGATTTTATTTTTAAATAACTTCTATACCCAATGTGGGGTTCAAACTCACAACCCCCCAGATCAAGAGTCATATGCTCCACTGACTGAGCCAGCCAGGTGCCCCTAAAACATTGTTTAAAGAGCCTGGAACATCCTGTCATATCAGA